GTGATTTCACCTCTGCAGAGTATCATTTTGATACCCTGTAGTACTATAGTTGCGAACGCGATGTACAGGGTGGGCCAAAGTTATGGTAACCATAACGTCATATAACTAATAACCTAACGACACTAATCATCTTTAATAAGAATGTTAGCCACTCCTATCACAAACCAAGATTAGCATTTAATTGAAGTATTGCCCGATGAAGAGGGACGGCGTGCACGGTGGCAGCTGGGAGCGCCAAAATGATTCCAAATTTTTTGTTGTGTTCTCTTCAGGGAATTATACTTTCTTGAGAATTTGGTTTACTCTTGGCTCTTCGTTTACTATGCAGAAAATCCAGCTGAATTCGGTGAGATTCCTGGATAGCGTTGTTGAGGACTATGACCACAAAAAACACTACTTGTACGATTTTTTCTATCACGAACGTGATTAAAGTGATCGAAGAGTCATCGCTATTGTGTTACTGTACCATCACTGCAAATTAGTGATGTGATTCAAATTTGCTGTTATGGAGAACTTCATTTCCGACAGAAAATCATCAATCGATGTGTAAGCAAGTAGAAATTCTCATATGATCAGGGGAGGAATGTTGCTTTCTAGATGGAATGTTAATAGGATATGGATAGGGGGAAAAGCAGTCGAGCTCGGCAAGCAAGCAAAAAGAAGGTGCAACTATCGAAGAACGTGCAAGAATACTGTAGTTCATGTAGAATTTCGTATTTATCGTTAGAAATACTACTTAAAATCATATTGAATCGTTTAATTACCCAAGTTTGAGGTGTTCGTGCGTGCAATAAAATCTATGATCAATCGACCGCGTGGCAGAAGTAGCAAGCCAACTGGTACATCGGCCGAGAGGACTTGCCCTTTGCACTATGGCAGGGTGCCTTGTCCGCTTAAACTTCTTAAAGGCAAACCCCGGGATTAAACTGGTGCTATCAGCGCTTCGTGGTGATAGCTTAGCTGCGGAACGACCTGAAAGTGGAAGGAAAGCAAGAGAAATCTTTTGGAACGCTGAAATTAAGGCCTTAACCTTCAATAAGGTCGGATGTGGTACGATGGCGAGACAGGGCGGTCAAAGAAGACAAAATACGCGAGAGAGCACGTCGTTTGAGAGAGCACGCTGATCTCTACATCAATACGATTTCCATCTCTTAATAGCCACGCCCATCTCTTCTTGCATTGGGGGAGAATGGGGACACTGAAGCTAGTACAATGCAAGCAGTATGTAGCTCGTAGCCGAACCCCCCCCCATCCCCAGCGTGTTACCATTAGCTACACCGTTCTAATTTTGGAAAGCTATTTCACTTTGAAAGGCCGTATCCTCTTACTTTTCTGCGTAATGCATTATGAACGGTACGGTGTTTGGTGAATGCTGGTAGCTATCGGGTTAGAAGCATGCCTCAGGACCACATTGGTGTAGATCTTGCACACGAATTCAAATGTATTGGTGCGAAATGAGCCACAGTAAAGAAAAAAGGAAAAGAATCCGTCGGAAACGCTTGGGTTGAGGCTTGCTCACATTCCTAATCGGCTGTGTTGTTACTAGGAGTGAGAAGACCGACGCACAGAGGAGATTGTGAGATGAGAGGAGCGCTACAGAGATGAAGCAGACGCCAGACATGTAGAGCTGATGAGAGAAAAAAATTTACAGTGCTCTAGCAGGCTGTATCTGCAAGGCGTCGAGCGCTCGTGCCGAGTTGAGTCTCGTGCACATGGGAATGCACATTGGTGATTGTCTTGTAAGGGGTGCCAGATGCAGACAAATAGGAAAGTTCACACGACGGGCTGCCCGATGTGTGCTTTTACCATGGCATAACGGACCCGCTTCTCGGTGCTGGCTCATCCATTGTCGAAGTTAAAGGGCAAACAAAGGGTTTTGCGACGTTCTGGGGGATTTCTTAGCTTTTTCGACTTGACTCATTATGCACCCCACTGTCAGTGTAACTCACCGCCTTACTTTATCATTATCCATCACTTCATGATAGAAGAATAGCGCCCGTCCTTTCGAAACTGACGTATGTCAAAGAGAAAAGAGCTAGAAAGGCTAGAGTATGACGCACACAAGCAACCAGTCACTTTGCAATTTGCTTATGACTAATTTGTTATCATCATGACCACATGACCGCTCAACGAATCATGGGCAAGTTGCAAATCTCATCGGTAGCGTCACCACCAGTTACATTATTAACCCTCATTGAGCAGATTCGTCCTCACAGAGAAAGTAATAAGAACAAGGTGAAAATCAGACCAATGCACTAACAAAGGACACAAAACACAGCCCGACCAAGCTATTTTTGAGGTACCAGTGGTAACTGATCCCAAGCATTTCCCTTGAAAGCAGCCAAAAATATCGACAATTTCGACCGGCTGTCAGTCCAGATTCCGAGAATCTCACAATAGTCAATGTGAATTATCAGTGATGCAAGGGGGGTATTCCGAGTGAGCACTTGGCAACTTGAAGGCCATTACCTAGCGCAGAAGGCGTATGATTGATTCCCTTCTTCTGAGTTAAGACCCCATAGAGGGTAATGCATGTTATGGAACTTACATATGTGGAAATAAAAAAAGAAACACAAGAAAGAGAGCCATGACAATTTTGGTAAATTATCTGCAGTAGCTGCAATGTGCCCGTCCGTAGGAGGCTATTGTCTGACGCCGCCTCTCACCTGTTGCGCTCTCGTCTCACACTCATCCATGCTTTATCTCTCGCTGCCTAGTTGCAGCCGCATTACGAAGGTGAGCAAGCACTTGACCTGTACGTTTTCAACGGATTCTTTTCTTTTCTCGCCACTGCTGGCCAATTTTGCGCTATAACTTTCGGATTAGGATCGGGGCTTTTAAAAGGGCTAATGGCTTTAAAGAAACGCTAACAGTTCGATTTGGGCCTCTGCACCAGCGACGAGCAATGATAGTATTGAACAGCGAGTTGGAGTATACTCACATTGATAATGATTTTTCAAGCATTTAATGTTGTTGGCTTAGATGTTTACAGTTAAGAGATTTTTCTATTTGTCCTTTGAATGAATAATCACTCGGCTTCACTGAGTGATCCGCCTGTCCCAAGAACAGAAAACGCGACGCAGTAAAACGGTTTGCTTTGTTACTAATACTATTTTTCTGAGGGAATATCAAAGTACTCGAGGTCGTCAACCGCCGGGACTCTCCTAACCTACATAAGCTTTAGTCTTCCGCTGTGGTCCCTTCCTCCGGTTAACCGACACCTCGTGGAAGTGACGCGCATGAAGTAAAAAGGAGTTCACGTTGTAGAGGGAATCGCCATAACCAAGCCGTGGACGATAGGTTTCCGTTCTTCTACCATCCGTCCCTGCTCCCTCACTGGCCTATAGTTAGCACTCCATGAAGCACCAGTGGAAAACGGGAGTGTGACTCAGCAAGGTAGGTTTATTGGCGCGTTGGACGGTTTATCACAACTATCCTGCTACAAAACATTGATATCTCAAATCCTGTAAGCTACCCGATTTGTTAGCGGTTTGTTTATCCCATGAGCTTCCTTCTCACTCACTTCATTTTGCGGACGGACACACATACATACATACACACACACATACATACAAACCGACACACAAAGTTAGCGCTTTATAAAATAGAAGGATAATCAGTCCCAACACGGACTTCAAATGTACCGATGCCACTCATTCAAACAGTGTGCACCCTAACGTAAGAAAAGCTAATGACTTGTAATATTTACGACGGGAGTGAGTACAAACAAGCACTTGTGCTAAATAATGAATCTGTGGCAGGTTTGTCAACCCAACGAGTGGGGCTCTAATTTTTTTTGTGGTCAGTGAATGTTGTCTTGCTTACAACTTTTGTAACGCATGCAAAGCCATTGAAACCGGAATCCTACCGAGAAAGTAAGTTGATGCATTCATTCCACTTACACGTTTTTGAAAAGTGGAGTTCAAATTTTGAAAATAAATCTAAAATTCGGTGTCGCTCAACCCAGCCGCTAAGGCTGAAGCTTTTGAGAATTTTACGACTGCCCCAAATTATGATGAAATGCTACGCAAGTAGAAGAACCTACTGCTACAGGTGTCGGCTCAGAAGCAGTCTTGCATCCGTCATCCTATAAATAAACATAACATAAAACGCCTGCATCCAAGTTTGGGAACACTGATGATAAGCAAGTATTCACCAGTTTTGGTGAGGGTTGCACAGCAGTCCTACATCCTTCATCCTGAAAAGCGTACATGGATCAATTTAAGATCCCATCGAGAACCGCAGTAAGTAGCTTAGAACATTGCTCAATGGATACCGGTATCGGAGTCGGCTCGGAAGCAGTTCTACACCCATCATCCTGCAAAATAGCACTCCAATTGTATGACCAAACCCCCACTGCGAAATTGGCATAATGGAAGTTAGCTATACCTGAACCGGCAGGGGCTCGCGAGAGGTCCTGCACCCATCATCCTAAAGCAGTGCAATGTATCATCAATTTCGAGAAATACTAATAAGTACTGCAATTATGTAAATCCATTATTACATCGGTAGCAACATCTACAATTAGAAGGAAAACCATATTCCGTAAGAAATAGTTATGAAAGTTTCCTCACAACAAGTTCAACCCTTTGTGGCTCAGCAGGCTTGCACGGTTCTGCTGGTGGTTTTATCAGTTCCTGAGGCTCCGCTGGACATCGTTCCACCTGGAACAGATAGCCCATAAGCCAGCCAAACCACCTTTTGCCTTCCAAAGCTCCTTATCAGCGTCTATCAGCTGATTAGCACTTTCTGGTCCCCCATCAAAATATGTTCCCGTTCCACCCCTAAATCATATCTGTAAAAAACCGCCTTAATGCTGCTGGGCCTTGCGTTGTCAGTGTCATGACAGTTCCTTCCAACGCTTCTTGTCAGCCCCTATCAGCTGCTATCCCGACATCAATACCAAAATGTGGTATGTAGTAGCTCAGTTCTCCATGTTGGCACCGTCAGAGTTTTTCTCAAAACGGATAGATTCTTAAACGTCGGAACCGGTGCCGGTGGGTTCCTTGCGCAGTCGAGCCGCCTTCATCCTGCAAACAGTATAACAGCATATAGCACTATGTATATGTGAAAAACCGCAGCAATTCTCCCCTTATGTTAGATGACGCATTCACAAACTTCTATTCAGAGGCGTTTTCAAAAACACTCACTGCCTCTGTCCTTTCGACTGAACGTTTTGTCACAATTTCTGTGATTTTCTTAGTTGAAGTTCTCGCTTCTGTCACATCAGGAGGTACTTCTTCTTTCGGACACTGAAACGGAAAGTAGCAAAAGAACTGCAATAATTCGGAATGTGACTAGAGGTGGTAACCTCTCTTTCTATCGGATCAAATCACTTCCAAATTTCAATATGTCTGGAGGCAACTCCCTTCAATTGAACACATACTGGTGTTGAATGGGGCTGAGGCAGCATGTAACTTCTCATTTTGGAGATTCATCGACTTAATCGCTCTAGAATGAGTAGGGCGAGCCCTACTCGTTCTGGAGCGATCGATACTTCGATTGCCAACAATTGAATGCGCACAACAAGCGTGCCACAGCCGATGTTTCCTCAATGTTTCTCATGACCCGCGCGAACAATAATAAAGTAATTTCGTCAAAATTTGATGACTGCCATGCATCGATTTTTACTGTGATAGTTCTGCCAAACGATTTCGAGCTTATCCATCTCTGATTTTCCCATTTGTCGGCAACGCCTGTAGTTTGCTGGCTGGTTTCTCCGGCGGCGTGCATAAAGATCCGCTCAATAGCTGGATCCACAGCAGACTGCTTCCACCAACTCTATCCCTTTTTCGCGAATCATTTTCACCGCAATTTAACCCATCCTAAAAAACCCCGAAAGTGCGTCGAGCAAAGATTACACGCTACAAGTGACGACGGCCTCTACAAAACGTAAATGTTTCCTGCCAATGAAATGATTAGCTTGATGCAGTAGTATTCTATCAGCTTTCACTATTTAGAGCATTCAATTACCATTTATCAGCATCACTACGGATCCTAGTTATTATGATTAAGCCGGAGTCGTCGCCAGTCGTGGTGTTGGTCTGCACTCGGCCCGCTTCAAGTTTTCTAAAGCAGTGGGAGCGTGTTCAACTAACATGGTGTTCACCATGAGTTCATGAAACATAACCGTGCCATTATGTTAGAAATCTATTTTCATTCTAGTCGAATGACAATTGAGCAAGGACCCTTTTATGGCTTCTGACTATTGCTCCTGAAGCGCTTTCATATCATCATCACATTTAGCAATGGCATGACTTTGAAAATAATCGAAGTAGGACAAAACCGGATAGGAACAATGGGCAACCTGTAGTCAAACTAATAAACAATGACCCACTGTCTGAGATTTCTGCTTTTCTTCATCTGTTTGACACTTCTCCTTGGTGGTTTTTTCGTATTGTCTCAGTTGTGTCAGTCACACCTTCTTCCGTGCCAGGAATTTCCGCCTCCTACGCGAAATTTTATTGAAGCTTTGTTAGTGAACTTTTCTGGCGAAAACAAAGTGAGACAAAAATATGATACCTTTTTCAAATTTTGATTGCATGAATGCAGATTCATGCAACCCTCAAATTTTAAAAAAAGGATATCACATTTTTCATTCATTCAAAATTCATTTCATATCATGAAGAAATGATTCTGCGGAATAGACCTACATCAAGAGAATGACAGCACATTCATCAATTGCTGACATATGACCTACTCCTCCAAATTTTGTGGAAGCTTTTCAGGTGCAAAGAGAAGCCCGACGATGTTTAAGGTGGACACGTTATTTTTTTTTAATTCTGCTTTCGTCCCTATCAATGGACATCCCCAAGGTCTCGTATAACTTCGTATAATTCAAGAAGGAAAAAATTCTAGCCACTGCACGAGTTATGTGTTTTCAGGGGAGCTGTTAACAGACGTTCGGTTGTCGCGTCGCTGCGTGCGACCACTTGTGCGGCGTCGCAACGCGGCGATTTTCCAATGGATGGGGAAGTTTTGAATTAGACGGTTGGAGCAGTGGGTTTCTGGCAGTTAATAATCTAAGTGAGGGGGGAGGGTGGGCGTATGTTAGGTTACAACTCACTTGCTATGGCTCATTCATTGAAAATGGCGTGGACAGGTTTCATTATCGCATTATTGAAAAAACGCGGAAGGAGAAAAGGTTCGAGTGAATTCAAACGATACGCGCTTTGATGAACTGAATGAGGAACGGCCTACTCGGATACGGGCAGTGGTTAACCATGTGTGTGAAGTCCAGACAGAAAAGCAAGTTTCTGGGACTAAGCCTTTGAAAGGAGGAAAGAAAGCAGAGATGCTATAATAGTGTGCATGTGCGAGAGTACCAAAGAACACTACAAAACGTTGAATTACCAAGCCTTCCGATTAACCATTGCCCTTAAACGGGCCTGCTCGGCGTCCCTTTACCATTCAAATTCGAACAAGGCATGCAGAAGCTCTTCCGCTGCAGGTGCGACGTCGCGGTCACGTCCAGAAGGGCCGTCCGGACTATTCTTCTGAGATACACCCGTCAATGTAATTCTACAGTCAACAAGTGGGGAAGGTAGACCGAAAATACCATTGACGCTTCCTCGCACGTGCGGTTTCAAATCTTTCTATTGCGAGCGAACAGGTGCGTCTATACTAGGCAGAGGGTTTCCTTAAAAGTGCACATGGAGAATCGGCTAAAGAGACGGATTTGCAAGGCCAACGTTCAGGGGTCTGCGGGTTCGTGTTTACACATTTCTTTATTTTTTTCACATTAACCAATTTCAACGTGAATGATCGCATCACTGCTCGACAAGCCGCTTGCTTCTGATGCCGTTCTTCGATGAGAACGTCTGCTTCTTGACATTCGTCCAGCGTACGCTAGGAACGAAAGAGGCGCACTGCATTAACATGCATGTGCAGAGATCCTCCTTCGTTGACCACTGGATTACTACACCACTCCATAAAAACTCCGCTAGCAAGGTTTCTTGGAGGCTTTTGAAACAGGAAGGTTCTCTCTAGAAATCAATCTGCAAGAAAGAAATACGTTGACATTCCTAGATTTGCTCAGATATGTGCTCATGGCTTACCACAGATGAAGATGGTGATACGATGAATAGCGACAGAGCCGCTAACCAGTATTTAGAAGACAGTATCGAGTAAGTCTACTGTGCATTCAGCACTAATTATTCAGTCTGTAGCTCTTGGTACGCACTGGGTGGAGCAGACGTAGTGTTCCTGGTCAAAAGATGGTGCTATGCAAGTAAAAAAATATTGGAATACGCGTTCAACTTATACTTTATCTCCCCTATTTTTAGCATATAGTTTCGTAAATGCAATGGTCTCACAAATCTCGAAATACGGAAAACCAATTTTTTTTCTCCATAGTAGTGCGTGACCAGATCACAAGCACGATATTCATGTTGTAACGCCAATGCAGATTGGCAGCAACTTTGCGCCACAGCCTTTTTCATTGGAATAGCCATTAACAAGGATGCAGTGTTAATACGGCCCGATCCAAATAAAAGACGTCGAACCATCTTGAGGCCAAAAATTGAAGACATAGGTTGTCCCAAAAGTTCGTGCTGCTTTTGAGCATTTTTTGAGTTGACATAATCTCAACAAAAAGCAATATCCACCACCAAAATATGGACTATCACTAATGCAGGTGACTTGTTGCCAACTGCCCATCAGCCTAAAGAAGTCCCAAAATTGCCTTTCTCGAAGGCCCGCAGTTTCAATGGCTGGAGGAGGGCGGAAGTCGAATTTCAAAGTCGCTTCTTTGAACCAGTACTTCTGCCGCAAGATGCCTGCTCAGCAAGAAGTGTAGCTGTCTCTCCGAAGAGGATGGTCACTGCTGTGCGGTGGATCTGACGGGAGGTCTCAACTGCGTTTTAAAATCTAAAGCAGTATTATTTGCGAAACACGTGGTTTCGGTTGTCATAGTGGCGCACATATTTTATCGATTGTGAGCGTATTAGTTGAGTTTTCTGGACAGCTCAAGCGTTGATTATTGCAGGAGACCTTCTGATACAAGGCCGAAGCCGGAGATAAGTTCTCAGCGGGTGCTTCGCGATTTGCTCTTTATAAGTGGGCCGAAACTTTTTTGCTGATTTTGAAAAAATTTCAGCCCCTTCTGCCACTGGCGCTTTTGCAGGCGCTACCCGCTGATGGAAGGTGGTTAGCATAGAGGAACCACCTTTCATCAGCAGTAGCGCCGTTGTTCAGGCACCGCGACTGGATAGAATAGCATAGAAGATGTTGACTGAACTCATGTCACACTCATGTGCTTACTGGTCATTTCATGAGGATTTCTTTGTCAAGCCTCTATAATTCCCAAAGAAGGGCAGATCCCTTCCAACAGTTCACCTAAAAGGTCTGTGGCGCTTACATAAGCAAAATGAATTGTGCGAGTTGAATCCAATAGAAGAGCACAGCAGGTTCAAATCAAACACGATCGCCTTCCCGGTTCAGGATGTTCTCGAGCTCGTAGCTGCACAGCGATAGCAGATTTAACTATTCTGATATAGCAATGTGAAAGAGGACAGGGAGATGTATCGCGGAGCAAATGTTGCTCCTGGCTTCGCCCGGTTTTTGGTTCAGCAGAATTCATTATATAAATAGGTCGAAACATGACCTCTCCTTTTGCGATTTTTGAAAGAGAATGAAAGCAAGCTAGGGCGGACATCGAGTGATACGAAGTTATCATCAATGCATCTCTTCGTAAGTTACTTACCAGGAACGGATGATTGGTCGAAGTGGCCATATGTAAAGAGACCTACACCGGTGGATGCGTTTTTGGACGCTGATCTCGAATCTGCTTTCCAAATCTGCCAAACGATTTTCCGAATGGAGTTATGAAGGAAAGTAGTGCAGCGGTAGTAGTCCGGGTTCACGTGCGAGACGTCGTAGGATCGATTCCCTGGCGGGTTCTCTTTTTTGCCTTCGCTGCAAAATGATGAAAAGGCTCCCAGCTACCTTACTCGATCAATGCTTGCCTGTAGTTACCCGTGCAAAGACTTTGCGAGAGTTTCTAATCAGTTTCGCGGTACTCACTAAAGACTGCACATGGAGCCCACAGAACTCTTGGCAGACGTTTTTGCAGCAAACAAGTGTGATATTCGTGTTCCGGAGATTAAAATACCCCTAGGGACAAGTTTGTAGCCAAATTTGAGATTTCGACCAAATTTCGAAATAAGGTGGGTGGGTATCTATCCATTCATCCATCAGCCTATCATCGAAGCCTATATAGCCTTGAGACGATATAAGTTTTTTTTTTGTTTCTGAAGAGTGTAAAGCAGTGTCTGGTTTTCTGTTCGCATGATTTCAACACCCACATTTTATTATTTTCAAATTTAAAGGGTCGCCGTCGTCCAAAATAGGTCAACCCTGGAACTACCGGCTATGGATATGTAGCATCAATCGATGAGTGACTCGCCCACTTTTTTTGAGATTAATTCAAAATCTCGAATTTTTCTAGAAATCGGCCCCAGGAGTTATTGGACTGCTTGAACACAGATCTCACATTCGTTCACTCAAAAACGGCTGAAGCGCGCGCTCCGTATACTGGCGCGCCTTAACCTTATGTAGTGGCATGCAAGTTAGGAAAAATTTCGAAGTTATCGACTCAGACTCATGATGAAAGCAATCATGTTTCACTACTGCCAAACAGTCAGTCACAAAAATGCAAAATGGAAAACAAGGGCCGGATCCGAACCACTGACCCCGAAATCCCAAGCCCACCACCTTAACCACTAGGCCACCAGCACCCGATCAAAGAGGCTCACTGCTTCGTTCACAAGCCGCTGCTGCTGAGGCCTCATTTCTCACTATGTTAAACTGTGTGAGGGAACGAAAAACCTCCGTAACTCCGTTCAGCGAATCGTTTGGCAGATTTGGGAAGAAGATTCGAGATCAGCGTCCGGAAACCACATACCATGATACTTGTCTCATTTTATGATGGCCACTTCGACCCTTCATCCTTCCCTAACGTTGTCGCGATTAGATAGAAATCGAGGTTCTGGCATGAGCTGCAAAAAAGTGGCACAAACTTATGGTACAACTAAATCTGGTGAAGGCACTGATCAACCCCCTGCTAAAGACGATGGAAAATCTTTTACAAAACAGCGATGCGAGATAGGAGATAACCTCAAACCTATCCTCTAACACTTTTGAATAGAAGCGTTAAGCCGAAGCACTTACCACTAGTATCCTCTCAAGAACACCTCCTCTCCACAATCTCCCTCTCCTAAAAATGAAATTCAAATGCAACGCTGCTCTTTTTGGGCAAGCGAGGGGAAGGAATCTCACCGTGACAATCTGTGTCCGCATGGGCATCTTCTGAAATGAAACAGCATTACGGGATAAAAAATCATGGTTGCGACAAAAAGACGACGTACGTGGGAAACGTTGCCGGGTCGTTTGCGTGACTTCGACCTATTGATACGATTCAGATAATAACTGTGGTTTTCTTTTTGACAGAAAGGACTCACCGTCTTCGATGACTGTTCCGACCTCTGAGAATCCTTCGTTGCGGTAGAACCGCTTTCTTCTCTACATCTTTGCTGTTCAATTATGTCTGAAGAAGCAAGAAGCGTTCTAGAAGATGTAAACATCTCTGACTCTTTCCGGCACAACAATGTCTCTAACTCACCTCGCTCCTTAGATATATCCACTTTTTCATCCCTCTCCATTCTGCGTGTGCGTTGTGATTGCGATTCTGTTGTCACCTTCTGTACTTCTGCTGGTGGTGCCTCACTCTCCTTTGAGGAAGCTGGAGTGTTGTCAACTTTCAAAACTGTTCTACTGACCCAGGTTGTGTGCCATCAACTTCCATCGGTTTATTCCACGCTTCCTGTGATTCAACTGGTTCTACAGCTGGCAGCAAAGGGTTCAGCCAAAGGATCCACAGGTGCAGGTTTAGGCTTTTCCGGCTCTTCCGTAATCAAACTATCCTGCAGTATTTCTTCAGGGGCTTCCACTCCATGCTGCATCGGCTCCTTTTGTTCCGTTTCTGACGGCACACATGGCTGCTTCTCCTGTTCACTCGGGGGCTAGAACAACATTATATGGCAGGCAAATACATTAGTTGTCTCTAGCTG